GTCTATTTGGTGTTCTACACGCTTCCTGTGTTTGTGTGGGGATGTCTTTCCTTAATTTTGGGAAATTCTCTTCTGCAATCCTGTTTAAGATCTGGCCAATACCATTAATCTGGAATTCTTCTCCTTTTTCTATGCATATGATATGTAAATTTGGTCTTTTCATGGTATCCCACATCGCTTGCATATTCCATTCCTGTGTTATTTTTTTTATAATTTTTCATAATCTTTACTTGAGTGGTCCAATTCTTCAACTTTATCTTCCAGTGTTGATATTCTGTTTTCCATTTCATTCATTCTAGTGGTGAGGCTTTCCCCTGTTGTTTCAAGTTGGCTTATTGAGTTTTGCACTTCCTTCTTCATTTCTGCCTGAGTTTTCTTCAGTGTTTCTATCTTTTTTGTGAATTCATTCAGAAGTTTATACCTTTGTTCTTTTAGCTTTTTTATTTGTTTCTTCATGTGTTCTTTAAATTCATTGAATTCCTTGATCATGTTTATGACTGTTGTTTTAAATTCAGTGTCCTGTGTTATCTCTATGGGGTTCTCCTTATAGAACTCTTCTACAGAATTGGTGGAGCTTGGTGGGGACATAGTGTTTTGGCTTTCCATTTTATTATTATCTCATTGTGATTTTGGCATGTGAATTTCTTGTTTATGATTCTTATATGAGAAACCTGTTTGTATTATAGAATTAAGTTGAAGTATGCTTCTGTTTGTATTATTGGTGTGCCTTGGTCCTTTACTTATTGGTTATATAAAGCTGGTTGGTCCAGGTTTCAGGTCTCACAGGTTTTATTTTGGATGTAACTGATGGCTTCAGATCAGCTACTCAGAAGCATCAATAGAAGGCCAAATCAGGTTCCAGTCTGGTCCACTCAGGCTTCCTTCTGAGGTTTGGACCTGTAGTAGTGGGAACTCAGCAAAATTTGGGAAGATCCCTAAGGAAGGCTGATTTGGGGACTCTCAGTTGGTCTGCTGAGTGCTCCAGCCCCTATGCTAGAGGGAGGATGGAATAGGCACTGTCTGGTGGTCCTCTGAGATCCCAGCCACTACACAGATGGAGGTCGAAACCCACCTTCTCAGGCTGTCTGCTCAGGTCTCAGCCTTATCCTGCCAAAGCCAGGTCTGGCTTGGGGCCTTAGGAGGGGTCTCATGCAATCCCAGTTAGGGGGTTGAGTATGGTACAATTAGGGAAAACTCACCACCATGTGGAAGCAGGATCAGGGCACTCTCAGGCAGTTTCCTGAGTTCTCAGCCCTTATGCCAGAGGGAGACTGGAATAGGCAATCTCTGGAGGTCTGCTGAAATCCCAGCCCCTACACAGATGAAGATCAGAACCCACCCTTTCAGGCTATCTGCCAAGATCTCAGCCTTAGCCTACCAAAGTCAGGTCTGCCCCAGGTCATTGGGACGGGACTCAGTACCTGCATATTTTCTATAATGGTTGGAGCCACTGACCTCTCCAGTAGCAGTGAACAAGTGCTCTTTTTTCTCCACATTGTTGCTAACACTTTTCAGCCTTTGTTTTTTAAAATAGTTGTTCTTCGTGGGGTGAAGTGGCCTCTCATTGTGATTTTGATTCATATCACACTAGTGATTAAAAATACAGGCCATTTTTCATATACCTGTTGGCCATTTCTGTATCTTTTCTTAAGAAATCTCTATTCATGTCCCTTGTCAGTTTTTTAATTGGAATGGTTATTTTCTTGCTCTTGAGTTCTTTAGGCTCTTTATATATTTTGGATATTAACTTTTTATTAAATGTTTGACTTGCAAATATTTTTTCCCATTCCATAGCAGCCTTTTCTCTGTCAATTGTCTTTTGCCGCACTGAGCTTTTCAGCTTTCTGTAATCTCATTTTTCTATCTTTGTTTTGGTTGTCTGTGCTTTGATGATCTATCATCTATCTATCTATCTATCTATCTATCTATCTATCTATCTATCTATCTATCATCATCTATCTACCTACCTATCTTCTGTCTATCATGTATCTCCTAGACCAAAGTCTTAGATATTTTCCCTTTGTTTTCCTCTAATAATTTTATAGTTCCTGGTCCTTCATTTAAGTCTAATTCATTTTGTGTTGAGTTTTCTGTGTAGGGTGAGGTAAGAGTCTAATTTTATTCTTCTGTGTATTCAGGTATCATACCATCACTTATTGGAGAGATGGCCTTTTCCCTTTCTGTGTTCTTGATGTCTTTATCAAAGATTTATTCTCTTTGCCGAAGACTTCCTTGGCTATTCAGGGTGTATTACTTTCTTAATGGACTTCTTTTCATTCAATTGGGTCTTTCAGCAGATTTGACGTGGCCGATCAGTCAGTGGGTATGCTTTACTCTTGAGTCTTCAGTTCCTTCGTTTTGCATGCTTTCCCTTTCCCTCATTTGCTGCTCTTTGTCAGTCTATTTGCTGTCTTCCATCTTCCATGTCTGCATTTGGGACTGCCTATTTCCTTTTTCTCTTCTGCATGGGTCACGTTTCCATGATGGTCTTGTCCTGTTTCTGGTTTTATATACAACCTATAGACTTAGGGCTCTGGGGTTTGTATTTATAGCCCAAATCTTTTCCCTAAGCACTGTGTTACAAACATTTCTCATATTACATCTGTACTTGGGGTTCTTATATGAATTTCAAACTTATTATGATCAAAACAGAAGAAATGATATCCTACCTCACCTGTCTTCTGTCAAACTCCCCCAGCCCCTTTTTAGGATGGGTCATTTTTAACCATTGGCTTCTAATTGCTCAGACCACAGTTAAAAGTTATCTTGAATTCCCCGTTCAGCCTTCAGACCATTAAGTCAGCCATATACGGAAATAGGCTTCATCTGCTTCCTTCCCTCCTGTCTACTGAAGTTGTCTAATTTCATACATTACCAACCACTTTGTCACGAGTTCTACTCTTGCCTTTTTCAGCTCAATCACTAATGAACATCCTGAATAAGTTTCTAGGACAAAATAGCGGATGCTACTCCTGTCCAAAGGTATTTTAGAAGAGAAGCAGCCCACCACTCTACTGGGCGTTATGTGAACTGCCTACATTTTGGACACATTTTCCTCAGTCTCTCCCTTGATCACCCTCTTCAGCCACTCTGGCCATCTTGTATTAGGAATGCATCACACTTTCCCTTTTTCAGGGGCCTGACATTTCCTTTCCTTTTCTTTGCTTTTTCCGCTTCAGATCTTCATAAAGGATACTTCTGCCTTACAATGTAGGTCACAGCTCAGGTTAACTCCACAGTAGTAAATTCCCAGAAACTCTCAAAGGTAGACAGACATTCCCTCCCTGTTCAGTTACTCTCTACTATGTCACTCCACTGGATTTCCTTCAATTTTTCAGTTACCTAATAATATACTTAAACAGTTATTATTTATTTTCTCCTTAGCAATATAAGCTCTCTGAGGGCAGGAATAGATTCTGTCCTTCTTGTTCATTAAATCTCTAGTACTCAGAGCAATGTGTGATGTATATTACTCACTCATTCTAAATGCTACTAAGTGAAGTATAGTGTTAGAAGGCAGTCTAACTTGTGTATTGTAACACAAAACATAAAGTACTCACTAGGGTAAAGGAAAAGGCTTGTGCTTAAATAAAAAATACTTTCTAGAGCATAATAAGATCTGATCAGGAGTCTGGATCTATGCTTTAACATCTTTGTATAAATAAATATGTATTTCAATAAGAAATAGGGAGCATCCCCATTTATATCTACAGTGACACAAAAAATATCTACGGCAGTGGAAATGTCATCTTCCTCTGAGAGTTCTTTTGAGGATTATCTGTCACACCTGAGGTTCCTGGTCTCACACAGAGAGGTAAGAGGTGATGATATATATGATTTCCTCTCCACCTAACCTGAGTTAGTGCCCAGTATGCTTCTTCTTCTCATTTCTAATGAGAAGGTTAATATGAATGCATGATGTGTGGAACTTATTGATGACATGTGTCTTTCAATGTGTTTATAACAATAAACTGTGAGGTTTCCTACTTTTCTATTTAAATTTCTGTTTTCATTTAAAAAATTTCTGAAAGTATACTCTTTCAGCAGATGTTTGACTTTTAAGCTACTTTTAATACCTTTATGATTTATGATTCCACAGTAAGGTTAATAACATTGAAGAAGAGGAAATTGTGTGTGTGCATCTGTGTGTGTGTGTGTGTGTGTGTGTGTGTGCGTGTGTGTAGTACTGATGAAGACAAACCAGAGCCCTATCAAAACATGTCATGAGAGCCAAAATTTTCAATCATCTCCAGAGCACTGTCATCTTACTTTGAGCTTAGAAAAATGATCACAGGAGCCTGACAGCTTATGAGACTGAGTTTCCAGGTGGCCAGCTGCCAGATACAATCCATCAGTGTTCTGACTGTGGCTGTTGCCATTTGGTACCAGTTGTCTCCTCAGGCAAAATGGAAAGAGGAATGATTGTGGGTCCTGACGTGGTTGGAGCTTGTAGGAAAGTGGTGGCACTTTTAGACTCTTCCAATTAGTTCATTTCGAGGGAAACTGGGCAGAAAATCCCATGGCGCTCACACTATACCCCCTGCTTTCTAAAGGGCATCTTCTGTGGAACGCTCGCACCCTCCCTCTTACCATCACACTGCTGTGAGTGTGGTATGGCCTCAGGCCCACTGCCTGGCACCTCATCCAGGGCTTTGCTTTCTTTTGATTAACACATTGAACAAAAAAGTGTGAAAATATGCAAATAAATGTCTTTTTATGGCACCACGAGTTGCCTCTATATTTCAGACTGTTTTAACAGCTCATTCCAATCTAGTCACTAATTGTTCCTGCTTCACCAAGCATTTACTGACAGAAATGGTCTCACCACATTTAGAAAAGAAATCAAGTCTGCATTATGGAGTTAGAATCATTGTATTTCTAGTTTCATGCATGGTAGGTCCATTATAGAGCTATATTTAATGTATTTCTAATTAAAAACAGGAAAAGAAGTGTCCAAAGCTTTCTCAGTGTTGTTTTATCTTTTGTTTCTGTTTGCACAGCTCACCATGTTAAAACGGGGACTTGCGAGGTGGTGGCCCTTCACAGATGCTGTAATAAGAACAAGATAGAAGAAAGGTCACAAACAGTCAAGTGCTCCTGCTTCCCTGGGCAGGTGGCAGGGACCACAAGAGCTGCTCCGTCTTGTGTGGATGGTGCGACCTCTTTATTGTTCGTTGTAATAACTTGGTCAGAACTGGAACCCCAATATAATGCTACCAACTGGAGTCACTCCTAGGGGACCACACTGTCAGTCACCTGACAGAAATAAAGTTATCTCGGGGAACTATCTGGTGCTGTAAAAACTGCTAGATAAAGGAATAACGTCTCATGAAGTTCTGCCACAAAAGCATTATACCGAGGTTCCATTCCGTCAATGTGCTTCTGATTTTGATACCATGAAATATAGATTTCCTGGTAGATGATTGAGGAAGGTGCAAGATGCAAGATGATATATATGGCTTATTAATATAGGTTCTTAAACCCTGGGTGGTTCTTAATAGGAGGAAAAAAAATCACTATGTACATGAGTGACAGCTTAGCTTCAGATAAAGTTCACAGAAAATGACTTCAATGTATATGCAGGATAATAGTTTCTTTGTTTGATAGGTCATATTATAATAATAGAATATGAATTTTTGTATGAAGTAATTAATTATTGTATCATAAACAGTAATTTTTTAAATTGGTCTATTCTTGTGATGAAATTACTATTCAGGATGAAGAAAAGGAGAAAAATATGTTAACTACTAACACTCTCCCAATTTTCAGACCTTTCATGGGAAGCACTGCATGGATTTTAAAATATTGATTACAAATTGGACAGTTTATTATGTACTTGTATAAATTAGTGCACATGGTTTTTCAGCATATTTTCAAGAAGTCTGTTTTCACTTGAAAAATCCTTTGACATTGTGGGTATACTTACACTATTGTATTGAACACCTAGAAATTTATTAACATATATCTCAGGTTAGTTGTTCTTGTCATAATAAAATAAAATATTAAATAGAAGAAAATTCTTATAAAAACATTTTACTTAGATCAGTGAGTCTTGTTCCCATGTAATCACTGCTGGATAGAAAGCACTGAGCTGGCTTTTCTCTCTCATAGCTTCCATAGTGGAACAAAAATGGTGGTGTCATATGCAGCCATGTTTGGAGGGAGAGGAATGTAAGGTTCTTCCAGATCGGAAAGGATGGAGTTGCTCCTCTGGGAATAAAGTAAAAACAACTAGGGTAAGTGGACAGCTGCTTGGAGAAAGCCAAATGTCTCTGAATTTGTGGATAATTGGGGCATGTTTTGTGGTATTCTGGGGTGGTTGTAGATTGAGAGAGTATAGTTTGATATTATATGAGTTTCCCATTTCCCCCTTAATTCATTTCTTCATAGCACATTTTTATTTCAGAAGGACATCTTCTATAGTTTACCATCAACTGCCATGTTTTCTGACTAATGAACACTGTTCATAAGACACTGCCATTGACAGGAAATTCCATGAGGATGCATGCTAAATGCAAAACAAGGCTCCAGTCATTATTCTTCTGCTATATAGTAATCTGAATAAATTCTGAAAATGTTGGGTTTGGTTTAGTTTAGTTTTTATATGATTCCATAAAAATTTCCAACTAAGGTTCTCTCTGCTCTATGAAAGTGATTATTTTGATCTTCCTGGGTTTGGGAATATTAAATAGTTATCTAAGGGTTAAGGTTTGCAGCCATTATAACAGGTAATGGGGAGACATTTCAGAATCTCAGAACAAACACAAAACAATGCTCAAGACAGTGACTTGAGGATTTACATCTGGAAGTAGGGATGGACATGCAAAGACACTTAATCCTTTAATTTCCCAATTAGCTACATGGATTCTATGGACTGGAATCATTCGAATTCCTTTTTATGGGGGATATAATTAAAAACTAAAATTTTATCTTTTTACAAATTTGCTTTGAGAGAAAGCAGATGATTGGTTAGAGTAGGATAACTGAGTAATAGAACAGAATAATGGTATAGGAACATTTTATAAAGAATGGCATCAAAGGAGATGATGGTATTATGGTACTCTTTGACATAGCTTTTAAAAATTTTGCACATTTTCAAGTGATTATTGACTGTTTTATTGATGTCACCCCAACATATTCTGGTCTGTCAAATAATGACCTCAATGCACCTAACATTAGATATACATAAATGTGACCATTTTGTTGGCACATCTTTCCAAAAATCTATTGAGTGCATAAGTTATTTAGAATAATTATACTATTTAATGAGTTAACAAAAGAGCTAATTCATACTGATTCGTTAACAGTATTTTTTTCTAATGCAAAGTTCCTTGTAAGGCATTTACATCATGAAATTATCCACTTCCTCCCAATGCTACTCCTTTGAAACTCACAGGAATTCACTAGAGCCTTGAGAATTTGAAGCAACTGAAAAAATTAAAAAATAAGTAAATAAAAGGTAAGCTCTCTACAGCTGTTCTGTGTTTTCATTACTTCAATGGACAAGGAGAAGCTAACATTTATTGGGCATATAAACATAAGCTACACACTGAACAAAGTGCTATAAATGAATTACCTGATTGAGTCCTCTGAATACCCTCATGAAGAAAATATTATTTTGTCTGCATTTTACAGGTGAATAAACCAATACTTCACAAACTTAAGTGACTTCCCAAGATCATCATGACAATTAATTGGGAATCAACATTCAAGTCACATAGCCCCGTTCTCAAGACTGGCTCCTTAACCTGAACTTTCTACTTAACTTTTAGCATATGATTTAGCTTATATCTTAAGTGATAGCAATAGAAAGTTGCCTATGAGGCAGACCTTTAAGAATATCTTTAACTTTCTGGATCATTGAAATGGAAAGGTCAAGACAATTCTATCTAAATTATCAAAAAATATTTTTAAAGGTGCTGTTTCATTCCTTTTGGCCATATTCTCGATAATCCAAAATTAGAACTGAACTTCCCCTTCGCAAAATTCATTTTAATGTAAAGAAAAAGATGGATGAAAGTGTGAGGCATTGTGGATAGGGAAAACTGCATCCAGATTCTATAGGTCATTTTAGTTAAAGGACTGTATGATTGTCTTTCATTTTCTACCCTGAAGCTGGTAAGGAGGACCTCGTAAAACACAGATTGCATAGAGGATTTGTCACCCATTCATCTGGCTGGTGGGTCTTTTACTGTAGTAGGATAGAAACAGGGGAGGCAGGAAGCTCTTCAAATGTTGGGTCTCTGGCAGCTTTTGTTTATCCAGTGTTGGGGGCAAGAAGCAGTGCAGTAAGCGGGTCAAGGCAGTAGCAAACTGTGCCCTCTAGTATTAGAGTGCTCATGCAGTCCTTGGGACCCTGAGGCCTGCAAGTGTTAAAGAGTTGTATGAGCCCAAGAAGGTGGGATCCTCAGCCTTTGGTTGCAGTTTCCAGACAGGCCTCGGTATTGGGGTCCCTCAGCTCTTGACAGTGGTCAGAGCAGCTCTCAGCCTGGGAGTCAGAAACTCATGGCTCTGAAAACTTTACAGCTCTTTGGAATCCTGGTGGTGAAAGTTTGCAACTTCTTTGTTCTCTCTCTCTCTGTCTCTGTCTCTGAACTTCCCTTTCCTTCCCTCGCTCCCTTCCTCAGCCTGCCCTTTTCCTTCCTGTCATGGGTGCTCTTAAACCATTTAGCAGTTTCCTCTGCTGTCAGCTGGCTGCCCCTCCCACAACTCAACCTCTGCCAAGACTGCTTGGCCTCTGCCCTGCTATACCTCCACTGCCACTGCTCTCCTGTCTCTACTGCTTTCTCCATGTCACCAGCTAACCCTTCACTTCTTAAAGTAGAAAAGACCATTATTAAACCCAATGTAATACCAGGGGAGAAGATATAGGATGTTGTCTCCTAGACAACTCAATAAGTGAGCCTGAGAAGTCAACTTATAAAGCCCTCCAAAGGGTGTCTGGATCCATCACAGCTATTGAGGCTGGTGTTTTGGACCAATTGCAACCTTCCCTTTTAACACTGGTCATAGTCGTCCCATTGGTAGACCACCAGGGGAGGTCTTCCTCTACCAACTTAGGATCTTCTAGAGTTCATTAAAACTTGTGGTAGCAAAAAGTCTCATAAAAGTTGCTTCGAATCATACTGGCTAACGCTGTGCCTTCAAGGCCAGGGCAATTATCTGTAATTATCATATAGTTTCCTCAAAGCATTGGAGGACTATTCTAGCATCTGGTACTGGCACAACGGCAGTCCAAATGGCCATTGATAGACTGTCTTATTGCTCAAGGCAGCCAGTGCAGCAAGAAAGAGTCCAGCAGCCTCCAATTAGGGAGTAAATTGGCCCATCCTCCTTTATCTTTGTTTATGAATGTCAGAAGAAAGGCCTACAATAAGAATTAGGTATTCACACTAATAGTGAGTTTAAAGTGCTTCAAAAGTGTTTAACACTTGCCCAGAACCCTGGGGGGAGGGGAGAGGTGAGTTTCCATCATCTGTCCTGGATGAACACAATAGTAGGTGTTTGGATTAAATTACCTCTAAGACCCCTACTGATTCTGAGGCCATGATTTATATTTTTCAAAGAAAATTATTCATTTCAAAGTGAAGATGAAAAGACTTGACAGAAAAGGCTTCTTGAGTTTTCAAGGTTTATTTTTCGTATGTTTCTTTTATAAAAGTAGTTTTAAATTATTTTAGATACATTTTTATTAAGATTAAAACATGTTAATTATGTTTGTATGTGTGCATCTGTGTGTCGATATATACAGCTGACAAGTGTTGTTTGTATGTATGTGTCTGTGTGTCGATATATACAATTGACAAGTGTTGTTTGTATGTATGTGTCTGTGTGTCGATATATACAGCTGACAAGTGTTGTTTGTATGTATGTGTCTGTGTGTCGATATATACAATTGACAAGTGCAAGTGGAGGCCAGGAGAGGTTGTTGGTTCCCCTGGAGCTGCAATTTCAGGCAGTAGAGTTTCCCGACATGGCTGCTGGGAACTAACTCAGGCCCTTAGCAAGAAAAAAAGTGCATGGCCTTAACTACTGAACCGTCTCTCTAGACCACAAAAGAAAAAATGTTTTTGGTAAAACGTGGATATAGTTAGATATTTTCAATGAATTGAATACCATGTCATTGTGCCTGGCTAGTCAGAAATGTACAAATATGAATATTAGTTGGATTCACAAACCAATTTGGTCAAATATTGTTGATAATTGCCCCCAAACTCAAACTGTCTAATGTTATCAGATTATTACTACTCTACCATCCCTACTGAAATGCTGTCAAAGTGTGGGAAGTAATAAACCTTTTTAAAATACATTGGACACAATATTACTAGAGGGAATTTATGCTACCCATGAGCAGAAATGATATTAGTAAGAAGAAGCCTGGATCATTAGTTTATTCTTTGGGATTATTGCCCATTTACTAGTCTTGACTAAGATAGCTGTGTTTATAATAGTCCTATGAAACCATTATACCCCTGATTTGGCAGGTCCCAGCTGCAAAAAGGAAGTCCTGACGTGAAGCAGGAAAAGGTTACAAAGTACCTCAAGAGCTGTTCTCAGCCAAAAGCCATTTGTGTTTCTGAGGCAAGATATGTTGGTCATGTGGGATTATCACTGCAAGCAAAATGACTCGAGAAATGATTAAAATTTGCAGTAATGTACACATTCCCGTATAATTGCCCATATCCAATCTGGAGCACTGGGTAAGCCTAATGGTAGAAAAAAAAAGCAGTCAGCCAAAATCAGCAATGAAGCATGCATGGTCTCAGCAGAGAGGAATGGTACCTTCCAGAACTGACTACAAATCAGGGCCTGGGTGAGCTCATTCAGGACGAATTTGGAACCTGGATAGCACTTACCACTAATGTGGATTATGCCCTCCTTCTGTCTTTGACCCATTTTCTTTCCAGAAAGGAGGGACAGCAAGGAACAGATAGTTCTTTAGGCAACATCAAAATTTTGTTCCTCAAAACCCATTTAGTTTGAAGACATGTTTCCAAAATATTATTCCTCATGAGAAAGGAGGAACATTTAGGCCCATCTATGACATCCAAAACTCCTTCCTGCATTATTTTAAGAAGTAAGTTAGAAGGAAAATCATGAGTCTTTTATTTCAAATTCACTCTCAAAGATAAATAGTGAAGAACTTTTTCAGAGTCATTAATAAAAGAAGAGTCTCTCCAGTGTGAAAGAGCACATAATTATATGCTAATTACACAACAGAAAAGTAGCAGGGTGG